AGACAGTGTTGTAGAAACCATTGTTGTGCCCTTGAAGCCAGACAGTGTTGCAGAAACCACTGTTGTGCTCATGGAGACAGACGGTGTTGTAGAAACCATTGTTGTGCCCTTGAAGCCAGACAGTGTTGTAGAAACCATTGTTGTGCCCTTGAAGCCAGACAGTGTTGTAGAAACCATTGTTGTGCCCTTGAAGCCAGGCAGTGTTGTAGAAACCATTGTTGTGCCCTTGAAGCCAGACAGTGTTGTAGAAACCATTGTTGTGCTCATGGAGCTGGACGGTGGTGTAGAAACCATTGTTGTGCTCATGGAGCTGGACGGTGGTGTAGAAACCATTGTTTTTCCCATGCAGCATGATCCCTCCTTAAACTGTATTTTTTTTTTTTTTTTAATATCCAGAAACCATGAGTTGTTAACCCTTTGGCTCAGTACTATGGATATCGCAACCCTTCCGCCTTGATTCCATGATAGGTACCGTAAATCTGGGAGAAGTGCGCTTTTTCTGCCTACCCCTGGGCGTGAAAGGGTTTTAACCAACTGAGCTAGCGCGCCGGGTATCTGTTTTCTTTGCTCAAATGGAAAAACAATATTAATAGACGTCACATGGCCAGGTTTAGCATCAAAAATAAGCTTTGCTTCGATCATCAAAAAAAACATGAAAATCTCTTGATATTTGTATTCACTTGCTTATTTATTCATGATGTTTTTTTCCGCAGAAATTTTTTTTTTAAAAACTGATCTCATTTTGAATTGGCAAAAATCGACGAAGTATTAATGTAGCAAAATGCGTATCTCATCGGAAATTAGAACAAAGACAAATCGAGCAGTAGGTCAAGGACATCTTCGCACACGTGACTAGTAACCGACATGTATCGAAGTCTTGCATTCTTCTAGAGACCAATCAGCACCCGATGAGTGATTGGTTAACACCACGCCAGCCGCCTTTACTTCCCATTTTTTTATCTAGTGCCTGTTGTAGGTTTGGTCGACCTGGCATGGGTACAAATATTTGTCTGGATGTCGATTTGAACCTCAGACCTTCGGGTCGGTAGACGAGCGTCTATAGTCCGGTCCGGAAGTGGTGCTTAACTTTAGAAAGCTGTAAGGTAGGTAGGTAGGTAAATAGTTGTCCCCGCCCCCTCCTCCTTTCCAGGACATCACACAAGCGATAAACACCCGGTGACACAAAGTGCCACCATGCGGATGAGAATCATCGATGGAGAGGTCCCAGAAACCCCTTTCATCCGTTAGACCATATCTATGGCCCGGCTATATTCAGGGCTCCCGCATAAGCCAGGGTGGGGCTTTAAATAACAAAAAATTGCATCCCACAAGGGGACAGCTAGTAGTGCAAAACCTGTAAGACAGTACCCGTTGTGTGTGGGTTGTAGAACTTTAGCATGCAACCTATTCATAATTATCTCCTTGTCATATTATTTATAATGTAAAAAATGGAACACCCCATGGTTTTCAGTTCGCCTTATTTGAAGTATTTAAACAAACAGACACCGATTCAGAGTAAACAATTGCGGTATATGAACAAATACACACCGATTCAGAGTAAACATTTGTAGTATATGATCAAACAGACACCAATTCAGATAAAAAAAATTGTAGTATATGAACAAACAGAAACCAATTCAAATCAAACAATTGTAGTATATGAACAAACAGACACCGTTTCAAAGCAAACAATTGTAGTATATGAACAAACAGAAACCAATTCAAATCAAACAATTGTAGTATATGAACAAACAGACACCGTTTCAAAGCAAACAATTGTAGTATATGAACAAACAGAAACCAATTCAGATCAAACAATTGTAGTATATGAACAAACAGACAACGTTTCAAAGCAAACAATTGTAGTATATGAACAAACAGAAACCAATTCAGATCAAACAATTGTAGTATATGAACAAACAGACAACGTTTCAAAGCAAACAATTGTAGTATATGAACAAACAGAAACCAATTCAGATCAAACAATTGTAGTATATGAACAAACAGACAACGTTTCAAAGCAAACAATTGTAGTATATGAACAAACAGACAACGGTTCAAAGCAAACAATTGTAGTATATGAACAAACAGACAACGTTTCAAAGCAAACAATTGTAGTATATGAACAAACAGACAACGGTTCAAAGCAAACAACCAGCTTGCTTTCAGTGAACTGAGCAACTAAAATTGTTTAAAACATCGAATTAGACACTTTTTACTCTCATGTGGTGATCTCCAGCTTTATCCTTCTTGGTGAGTCAGATGGACACAATTTTTCATTGTATGTGGGATATGCTGTCAAAATAATCACCACCCATAGCTGCATATGTAAACTGATTACTAGACCATCTCTATGCGTGTGCCAGTTACTGTATATTTGATATTTCTAGGCGTATCTTCATCTTCTTCAGCATTTGAGGTGTATACACATTATTATTCAAACTAAGATCAAAGAAATTCTCGCTCTAAGAAAACAGCAGAACCTGTGCGGTTGTAAATTACAAAATCACCATAGAGGACTTGTGGAGATATTTGTGATAGCTTTCGACATGCACTACAGCCAGTATGTTACCTCGGTTGTCAGATTTAAAGCTAGTGTGAGAAGTCGAAGCTTGTGTAAGAAGTTGAAGCTAGTGTGAGAAGTTGAAGCTAGTGTGAGAAGTTGAAGCTAGTGTAAGAAGTTGAAGCTAGTGTGAGAAGTTGAAGCTAGTGTGAGAAGTCGAAGCTAGTGTGAGAAGTTGAAGCTAGTGTGAGAAGTTGAAGCTAATGTTTAAAGTCGAAGCTATTATGAGAAGTCGAAGCTAATGTTTGAAGTCGAAGCTATTATGAGAAGTCGAAGCTAATGTTTGAAGTCGAAGCTATTATGAGAAGTCGAAGCTAATGTTTAAAGTCGAAGCTATTATGAGAAGTCGAAGCTAATGTTTGAAGTCGAAGCTAGTATGAGAAGTTGAAGCTAGTGTGAGAAGTTGAAGCTAGTGTAAGAAGTTGAAGCTAGTGTAAGAAGTTGAAGCTAGTGTGAGAAGTTGAAGCTAGTGTGAGATGTTGAAGCTAGTAAGAGAAGTTGAAGCTAGTGTGAGAAGTTGAAGCTAGTGTGAGAAGTTGAAGCTAGTGTAAGAAGTTGAAGCTAGTGTGAGAAGTTGAAGCTAGTGTGAGAAGTCGAAGCTAGTGTGAGAAGTTGAAGCTAGTGTGAGAAGTTGAAGCTAATGTTTAAAGTCAAAGCTATTATGAGAAGTCGAAGCTAATGTTTAAAGTCGAAGCTATTATGAGAAGTCGAAGCTAATGTTTGAAGTCGAAGCTATTATGAGAAGTCGAAGCTAATGTTTAAAGTCGAAGCTATTATGAGAAGTCGAAGCTAATGTTTGAAGTCGAAGCTAGTATGAGAAGTTGAAGCTAGTGTGAGAAGTTGAAGCTAGTGTGAGAAGTTGAAGCTAGTGTGAGATGTTGAAGCTAGTGTGAGAAGTTGAAGCTAGTGTGAGAAGTTGAAGCTAGTGTGAGAAGTTGAAGCTAGTATGAGAAGTCGAAGCTAGTGTGAGAAGTCGAAGCTAGTATGAGAAGTCGAAGCTAGTGTGAGAAGTTGAAGCTAGTATGAGAAGTCGAAGCTAATGTTTAAAGTCGAAGCTAGTGTGAGAAGTTGAAGCTAGTATGAGAAGTCGAAGCTAGTGTGAGAAGTTGAAGCTAGTGTGAGATGTTGAAGCTAGTGTAAGAAGTTGAAGCTAGTGTGAGAAGTTGAAGCTAGTGTGAGAAGTTGAAGCTAGTATGAGAAGTCGAAGCTAGTGTGAGAAGTCGAAGCTAGTATGAGAAGTCGAAGCTAATGTTTAAAGTCGAAGCTAGTATGAGAAGTCGAAGCTAATGTTTGAAGTCGAAGCTAGTATGAGAAGTTGAAGCTAGTGTGAGAAGTTGAAGCTAGTGTGAGAAATCGAAGCTAGTATGAGAAGTTTAAGCTAGTATGAGAAGCTAAAGCTAGTGTGAGAAGTCGAAGCTAGTGTGAGAAGTTGAAGCTAGTGTGAGAGGTCGAAGCTAGTGTGGATCATTATCATCATCAAGTGCCTTGGCGTCTAGAGTGGACAATCATGGCATACCAGAACCTAAGAACCGCAACAACATTCATCCACGTCTAGAACGCCACCGCTGCAGGCCGTGACACAAGGCAGCTACTAATCTTCTGGCATGGTCTGCCTTTGCCTGTCTGGTCATAAATATTTATAGTGGTCACACAATGGTCCACTTTTCCCTTTCTCATAACAGACGGTAATTCCCTAAGTATGAGATGATTCCATGTATTCACCGTTGTATTCATTACAGAATCCAGGAAACGTCTCATTGCTGTCAAAACTCTCTTTCATGTGATACACTTTTAGCTTGTCCTTGACTGTGTTTTCATGTTTCGCCTCATCCAGTTTCATCTGTGGCATTTGAAATGCAACACTTCTTGAATGACTTGACAACAATCTCAGATTTCACATGATCCCAGGAGCCGGGTATCATCTTCTTCTACAGTTTTTTGTTTGTTTTTCAACACACACAATCTGCTGGTATCAAATTATCCACAGAACACCGAGGCCATGGAACGACACTCCCAAAAAAGAGCTTGCACGGGAAATCTGGGGGGAAATCTGCGGGGAAATCTGCAACCATTGTTGCAAGACTTTTTTTTCGAGACTTTTTCTTGGGAAAATAAATCCGTCATTAATTGTTGTCTTGATGTGGGATGACATTTTTCGTTACTTTAAAGCCACAACCCGCTTGTTGTCGGGGACCCTTTTATAACCTGCAGGTTCAAAGGGGTTTCTGAGACATGTGTCCTAGTGATCCTCATCCGGATGGTGGCACTTTGTATCACCGGATGTTGGTTGCTCGTGGTACGGTCCTGGTGGGGTTGAAGAGAATACACTAAGTGCGTCTTGTATTTATGACACGAAAGTGCAGAATTGATGATGGTTCTAACACATACTACAGATTGAAGAGAGAGAGATCGACAAACAAATTCAGGCGGTTCTTACCTTGAGAAAAAGGCGAATCCATACCTCCCAGATACTGGGAGGTTGTGAACTGGTGGGTGAGGGATCGTCTACCCACCCCGCTGCTTCCCAAGACCGTGACCCTGTAGGGTGGGTCCGTATGGCACACGGGGGAGATGGAGTGGACTGGAGATCCAGGGGGGCCAGGACTATGGCTGCAGACGCTGCCGTAAGACACAGAACTGGATGTGCGTGACCTGGAAGTAAAACATTGATAGGGGTTGTCTGGGGTCGTCTGAAGACTTGCTTCCCACAACATGGTGGACAATAAAGTATCTCAACCCCACTAAAAACATAAAGACATATCTGCTTTTCACAGAAAACATAATGGGGAAGGGAGGAGAACAAGCCACTGTACCCCGAACAAGCATATCGTAAAAGTCGACTAATGAGGGGCGTTTCCTTTGGAAGTGGTCTGGCCATCAGACAAAGAACCAACAGTCTGCATACAAAAAAAAAACCGTCTTTAAAACAGATGCGCAGGTTAAACTCAAGTTCTGAAACAAGCTTAAAGTTCAGAAGTGAACGAACAACATAAACTTTCCGCTGAAGCCTATAGTTGGTTAACTCGAAAAAGAAAAAGAAAAGACAAAGAAGAAGAAATTGTGTGCAAAAAATGACAATAATCGAACTGATATTCTACAATGTATGAGACAACGTGACCTCTCTGCCGCCTTCAAACATGAGCTTGACCAATACTGACCACTCAGAATCATCACATAGTCAGACTTGGACATCAATGACCATGACAAATTGTCATATTTGTCTATATAAAATCACTCTTGACCGCACCACTGACCATTCAGGCAACAGCAGCTAGAAGGCAACAATGACGCTTCTGACCAATTTGTATATTTTCCTATATAAATAAATACTTGACCCCACTATTGATCACTACTGACCACTCCCAGAATAGCGCCTAACAAGTCAAACTTGGCACCCCTGGCCAATTTTTATATTTTCTTAAAAAACTCTACCCTAATTTTCTTTCCTTTTTTAAATTTTAAATTGAATGTCATAGCATCATATGCCTAGGGGTCCCTAACACCCGTCATTTATCTAGCCAACATAACAAGGCGGCCATAATTCACCCGAATGTTACTTTTTTTAATTTAAAAAGTCATACTATGAATTCTTCTCTTCTCCGTCTGTTGCCAGCCACGTCCCGCCCCCCGCCAAACGCCACTCCCCCCCCCCCACGCCCGCCCCCCTCCCCCGTGGGTCTCAATTAAACGTGTCTAACAATGCTGCTAACCGGATTGTTCAATGCCTATCCCACTTACCCCGTGGGTCTCAATTAAACGTGTCTAACAATGTTGCTAACAGGATTGTTCAATGCCTATCCCACTTACCTGGACTGTGGCGTCAGTTCGCTCATGCTCCCGCTGCAGCTGGAGATGACGCTGCTGTTGCTCCTGGACCTCATGGAGTCCCCGCGGTTGATGAGGCCCTTTGGTGTCTTGATGAATGATCTGAGGGGTTGGAGGCTGCGGCAGAAACAGGAGAGACTTCAGTACATCGGGTGGTCTTGGTCTCTTCGTCTGTGTCCACAACCTTTTATTTCAACTCTTTCAGTATCTAGATCCCCGTGTGGGTCCCGGGACCCCATTGTCGGGAGGATGGATAGACCTGCTGCCCCATTCAAGCATGTCGTATAAGTTTAATAATTAGGGTGTTTGCTCTAAGAGGATATCAGTCAGATAGGCAAACAACCAAAAGCCTGCACACAAATAAACCAGGTCTGTTAAACCGAAGTGCACGGAAAACTCAAGTCTCCTAGGTCGACCCAGCCTAAAATAAGTAACAGGAACAATTCTGGGAAGTAAATGCGGCCGGCGTGATGTTGACCACATCACTAATAGATGGTCCTAAAAAATAGGAGTCTAGTCTAAGAGTGTCCGATGCTTCTCTGGTGTGTCAAGAGACCTTTGCCTGACTTGTGTGATGTGCCAGATGCACTAAAGAGATAAACAGGCTCCTTGCTTGTGTTTGTAATGACATGTTTAAGTATGCAGACTGCATTTCCTAAGCAAGTAATCAGCTCTCTTTGAGTTCATTATTTTCAGAACAACTTCATTACGTTTAATTTCTTGTAAATCGGTGCACAGTTTCTTCACCTTCCTCTTCCATATCTGTTCCCATAATTTGCCCCACCCTCCATAATGTTTCAGAAATTCTTTAACCAAACACGGCAACTTCCACATCATTTCCCGTAACCCGCCAACTGTCGATGCCGTTATCGACACTCTTGTGTGAATGAGATTGATTTTACGTCATTTCTCTCTTTACTATGCTGACTGTCGATGACGTTCTCGATCTTCTTTTACAAAATCACATCTCTATACCTTACTAGTCGGCTCTGTGGCTAAGTCGATGCGAACGCTTCGTAATTCCTGAATGCCGGGTTCGATCCCAGCTACGGGCAATGCGCCTTGCGTTGGTTTCGACAGTTGTATCAAGAAAGCCGACCGTCCAGGAAGCAATGGCAAACTACTGGACGTAAATTTGCCTTAAAAAAACCACGCAACAACCAGTGGTTCTGCAACGTCCTGTAAAGGATACGCAACTAACCTAACCTATACCTTACTGATTTCTATCTACTCTGTCAAGTATCCATGATGTTCTCATCATTCTACAAAATCACATCTCTACATCTTAATTATTTCTATCTACTCTGTCAAGTGTCCATGATGTTCTCATCATTCTACAAAATCACACCTCTACATCTTACTTATTTCTATCTACTCTGTCAAGTGTCCATGATGTTCTCATCATTCTACAAAATCACATCTCTACATCTTTCTTATTTCTATCTACTGTGTCAACTTTCCATGATGTTCACATCTTTCTTCGATAAGTCCATGTCCGCTGTCCATGAATGTTCTCTTCATTCTTCAACAGGACCAAGTCAAATATCCATGATGTTCTCATCATTCTTCTATAAGACCACATCTTTCCATATTCTTCTTCATGTCTCCCGATCTGTCGATTGTCGAGGACGTTAGCAGACGCCGAGCCAGTATTATCGCTGTTTGTCTTCAAACAACAAAGGCGGAGAGAGTGTTGAAATCAGTGATAACATTAATTATGGTAGGACAGATAACAGTCAACGTCATAATCATGGTAATTTATCTGAATGGGTCAGAAACATGTAAAGTTTAATTATATTTGGTTATTCAACATAACAAGAATAAGCCATAAAATAAACGAAGATATCTTAAAAATGGTGGGAACAACACCTGTAATTAGATTTATTTGATTTGATTTGATTCAAGAACCGACGTCACAGCACTCGGGGCATTTACATAAGCGCTCCGTCCCCCACCCTCAACAACCAGAGTTCCGATACCAATGGTGCCAGTAGCATTCTGATTAAACGTCCGTCTTGCCTTTCCTCTGAGCCTCGAGCATCTGCCAGAACCGCTCGTCACTCCCCCTGTATCAATCTCACCAGACCGTGGTGATCCATCTGCTCCTCCTAACTGTACACGCTCTCACACAGGGCACTAACCACGTATGCTTTATCATGCATCAGTATTCCACCAAGCTGTGCAGAGCCAGCCAGTCTGTCCGCCTGTTCATTTCCCAACACACCGTATCCTGCGCAGCGAGGCATGCCACTCTGCACGAAGCATGCTCGTTCTGATCTTCATCAGCATGCTTTCTGAGTCAGTTACAATCACGATTTGTGTGTGCGTCGTTTTCTCCAACCAGCGGAAAGCTGCAGTGACCACCTCTACCTCCATTCCTAAGCTGGATGTTGTGGTATCATATGCCAGGCTCTTCTGCACCAAACGTCGACCAATAACTTTTGCTAAGAACCCCCAAGCACTTCTTTTGCCTCTTGACACTGAACAGTCTGAGTAAATGATCAAATCCTCTGAGCTAGCATTATCTTGAATTAATTGCTGAATGTCCATCTTTGCGGCACCTGCTGGCCAGTCTCTGCATTCCCAGCTCAGCGTGATTTTTACTCCACACAAGTCTGACTGCTCAGGTGACACTTTGACCCACTCCTCTCCTTGCCTAATGTTCTCAAGGATGCAAACCTGTCTGATTGTGTCTTCTGCCTAAGCCATCCATGACTTCCCTCTTATCAGCCGCTGATCCTTAACTGCACCCAGAGCTGCGTGCAAAGGTGGTCTGTGTCTGCAGCTATTTATTTAAAACAAAGAATGAGAATGTTTGGCCACCTCGTCAGAATAAATCCAGCGTCACCGGTTGGAAGAGTATACAACATGAAAATGGAAACATTATAAGGTAGAGGAAGGCCAAGAATTATATGGATAGATAGAGTTAACAGCTTGCTGAAACTCAACATTATCACCAGGCAGCAGCAAGCTAACGACAGCGCAGTATCCCGGACACCGATCATCAGCTGTGCCTGCGACGCCTAACAGCGTTAAGGAGAGAAAAGCAACAGAGAATGATAGCCTATCACAGACATGATAGCTTATGCTTATTGGCACGGCACGTGATGATGATGATGATGATTGGGCGTAGTGATAATTCTAAATTACTGTGCATTCCTTATTTTATTATCATTATTTTTTGAATCTGCCAAATCTAAAACAGACATTGGCGATCACGACGTTCCACTTCCGTTTGCTAGCTGATACTGTAAAGAAGCTGGTATTGCTAATAATATTATTTCGTTGTCAATCTGGTCGCGCTGACCACTGACATTGTTTTCTGTTTTCCTCTGCGCGCTTGTCCAGTGTACTTCCATATAAGGTAAACTTTTGATCAAATGTCTTCTCTCAATAGGTTCCGTTCTGCTGTTTTATTTCTCCTACTCTTTTATGTGTTGATCCTAATACCTAAACTTTTGCATTATTCTCTGTCTACGACATTCCCACCATTCGTATATGCCCGCGATATTCCCACCATTCCTCTTTGTCCACTATATGTCCATTATTCTTACTTGTAAACTATATGTCCATTATTCTTACTTGTCCACTATATGTCCATTATTCTTACTTGTCCACTATATGTCCATTATTCTTACTTGTCCACTATATGTCCATTATTCTTACTTGTCCACTATATGTCCATTATTCTTACTTGTCCACTATATGTCCATTATTCTTACGTGTCCACTATATGTCCATTATTCTTACGTGTCCACTATATGTCCATTATTCTTACTTGCCGACTATATGTCCATTATTCTTACGTGTCCACTATATGTCCATTATTCTTACTTGTCCACTATATGTCCATTATTCTTACGTGTCCACTATATGTCCATTATTCTTACGTGTCCACTATTTGTCCATTATTCTTACTTGTCCACTATATGTCCATTATTCTTACGTGTCCACTATATGTCCATTATTCTTACTTGTCCATTATATGTCCATTATTCTTACTTGTCCACTACATGTCCATTATTCTTACTTGTCCACTATATGTCCATTATTCTTACTTGTCCACTATATGTCCATTATTCTTACGTGTCCACTTTATGTCCATTATTCTTACGTGTCCACTATTTGTCCATTATTCTTACGTGTCCACTATATGTCCATTATTCTTACGTGTCCACTATATGTCCATTATTCTTACTTGTCCACTATATGTCCATTATTCTTACGTGTCCACTATATGTCCATTATTCTTACTTGTCCACTATATGTCCTTTATTCTTACTTGTCCACTATTTGTCCATTATTCTTACGTGTCCACTATATGTCCATTATTCTTACGTGTCCACTATATGTCCATTATTCTTACTTGTCCACTATATGTCCATTATTCTTACGTGTCCACTATATGTCCATTATTCTTACTTGTCCACTATATGTCCTTTATTCTTACTTGTCCACTATATGTCCATTATTCTTACGTGTCCACTATATGTCCATTATTCTTACGTGTCCACTATTTGTCCATTATTCTTACATTTCCACTATATGTCCATTATTCTTACGTGTCCACTATATGTCCATTATTCTTACGTGTCCGCTATATGTCCATTATTCTTACGTGTCCACTTTATGTCCATTATTCTTACATGTCGACTATATGTCCATTATTCTTACGTGTCCACTATATTTCTATTATTCTTACGTGTCCACTATATGTCCATTATTCTTACGTGTCCACTATATGTCCAATATTCTTACTTGTCCACTATATGTCCATTATTCTTACGTGTCCACTATATCTCCATTATTCTTACTTGTCCACTTTATGTCCATTATTCTTACGTGTCCACTATATGTCCATTATTCTTACTTGTCCACTATTTGTCCATTATTCTTACTTGTCCACTATATGTCCATTATTCTTACTTGTCCACTATATGTCCATTATTCTTACTTGTCCACTATAAGTCCACTATTATCCCTATGATAATCCCATCATTCTTATCTTTCCACTTGTGGAAAGTACTCCACCAGAAGGCAAACACTGTAAGTATGTTCTGATCATCAGAAACGACCACCGCCCTTTTTTCCCCACAAATTTTTTAGCCATTTGTCTTCGTAAGACTCGGGTCTTGCCATTCTACCAACTGGTCTTGTTGTGATTGTCGGACAGTCTTCTGGACTGGCAGCACATCCTCTGTATCACCCCATTGAACCTGCCCTTGACTGTAGGTTTGTGTGAATCCATGACGTCCTTCGGCTCCAACGATTGATTCTGGGGTTGAATCGAATTTAACGTACAAATTCATATCTGTCCTATGGGAAGCCCTGGTTACGCAGGCTAGTGAACCTGTAGACGCGTTCCGGCATCGAGAATCTAGCTTTGCCGATCTGGAACTCCTCAACGAAAGACTTCTAGGGCAAAGCCAGTTTTGCCTGTTCACAATACAGAGACAAGTCAGTCAGGTCTGGTGGAGCTGCCTGCCATGTTCTTGTTCATATGATCTTGTGACAGAACGCCAATAGATGGTCGATCGGCACGAGAGGACGTAAACCCATTAGATGACATAAAATCAGCAGATTATATTATACCGGTAAGTAAAGTAAAGTAAAGATCCCTTTTCACGAACTTCGGCGCATCGCCATATGGGCAGAGCGCCCCATATTTTTACAGACCATCAGCTTTCTGTGGGTAATGTGGTCAGCATTACGCCGGCTGTCTTTACTTTCCCAGGACAGCCCATCCTGGTACCCATTTTTGGCTGGGTCGACCTGCGATCCACGCAGCCTGCAGTGGGTTTCGATCGCGGTATGCTGGCTCACGAGTTGGACTCGCAACGCCTTAGCCACGGACGCCGCCATTTATTATACCGGTAGATGACATAAATTCAGTAGATGATATAAACACATAAGATGACTTAAAACCCATTAGATGACATAAACCCATCAAATGACTTAAACCCATTAGATGACATAAAACCAGTAGATTGTATAATACCGGTAGATGATAGAAACATAATAGACGACACAAGAGAGGCAAACTCTATTTTACAACCCAACCCCTTTTTCCTACCCCCCTCCCCCCCACCCCACCCCCAACGTATCTGAGACCCACCTGGACTCGTGGTCGGAGATCGGAGACAAATATCTCCTGCCGGGACGAACAATCTCACTCCGTGTGGGAAGCGAGGTGGTCCTCGGCCTCATGGTCTCCAGCTCGGTGTTCTCCAGGATCCTCTGTGAGGGCTTCTTCAGCGATGTGGATCTTTGCTTGGGCCGGACACCCGCCATGCTTTCCGGCAGCTTGCCGAGGTCACGTGGTCGCTCAATCTGCGATGGTGGGAAACACGAGTTAGACCGCAAATACAGTGACGTCAGTGTTATCAGTGGCTGCTGGACAGGTGCAAGGACACATAGAGGTCACCCAAGGAATGTTAAGATAGTTCTGTCTGTCTGTCTGTCTGTCTGTCTGTCTGTCTGTCTGTCTGTCTGTCTGTCTGTCTGTCTGTCTGTCTGTCTGTCTGTCTGTCTGTCTGTCTGTCTGTCTGTCTGTCTGTCTGTCTGTCTGCCTGCCTGCCTGCCTGTCTGTCTACCTGCCTGCCTGTCTGTCTGTCTGTCTGTCTGTCTGCCTGCCTGCCTGCCTGCCTGCCTGCCTGCCTGCCTGTCTGTCTGTCTGTCTGTCTGTCTGTATGTCTGTCTGTATGTCTGTCTGTCTGTCTGTCTGCCTGCCTGCCTGTCTGTCTGCCTGCCTGCCTGTCTGTCTGTCTGTCTGTCCGTCCGTCCGTCCGTCCGTCCGTCTGTCTGTCTGTCTGTCTGTCTGTCTGTCTGTCTGTCTGTCTGTCTGTCTGTCTGTCTGTCTGTCTGTCTGTCTGTCTGTCTGTCTGTCTGTCTGTCTGTCTGTCTGTCTGTCTGTCTGTCTGTCTGTCTGTCTGTCTGTCTGTCCGTCCATTTATCCTTCCTTTTTCGTTTCATTCATCGGGCAATCAATTGAACAATGCATCCGTGACCGAACATAAAGCATTAGGCCTGATTATTGACACAAATGTAACCATTAAATCTCATGTACGAGCAGTCAACATTTTTTTTCATGAAAAGGATACCAAATTGTAGAAATTATCACCTTTCTAGAAAGTTGTGTATTTTCCACATTCGTACAAACTATTGCTTCACAAAATGGAATGGGTGTTCGAAATCGGTCATCAGACGACTCAAATCAGTTCAATGAGGGGTTGCATGTTTAATAAATAATAATCACGGAAGAGACAGAAGAATCTTTATAATGACCATAGACTATTATTGCTCCGTAAACGTATATTCTTCACCAGGCTTCACTTATGCACACAATTTGATCCCAGAATGCATCAGATTATGTTTAATGATTGTTTAAATATAATGGACGACACAGCAAACGCCTCAGTATATAACATATCCACCAGTCTAGGATAGACCTATTTACAAAGCAAGCTTAGCGTATTCCGCAGCTCAACCATGGACCCATTTTGGAGAGAGATTGAAAAAATACTAAGAATACTAGTCTCTATTAACGCAGTGAAACGCTATCTGAATATTATCATTCCAATACAAACTACACGCTCCCACCCACCCCCCCCCCCCCCCCCCCTCCTTCTTTTCACCCACACCGAAAGTATTTATAGTATATAACATAATTCTGCCAGAGTTAGCACAATTAATGTAAACAGATTTATTACTGTTTATCTTTTTAACCTCTTTCTCTGGCTCCATTCTCCATGTTTTTGGGCGTGTGGTCTGCCTTTATTTATATGTTCAGGTGGGTTCCAGTACAAAGGTATTGTTCTCAGGTTTTCTGAACGTATGTCATATCCAGCGCCAACGTCTTTTCTTCACCTCTTGACTTCATTTCAATTTTTTAAGTTCTCTCCCAGAATTCACGACTTGTGATTATATCATACCATTTAATCCTCTCTAATAATGGGCAGACACCAGTTAATGATCAATGTTTGTAGTTTATCAGTGATTGTTTTAGTTGCCGTCCATGTTTCCGCTCAACATGCCAGCACTGATTGGACATTTGAATTATCAATTTTAAGTTGATCAGTTTTGATTCTATTTTTGAGCCTCCTCCAATTTCCTAGAGCTTTGACAACTCTTCTTGCTTTTTGTATTCGTGTAGAATCTCCCTGGCGAAGAGGTCAAGCTGTTCGCCTGGCCTCCTTAAGGTCGTAGGTTAGTTTCAGGGGCGGCGCTGTTCAGTTCACGAGTGCAATATTTACGGAGATCACTCGGGATCGTAGCCGGAGCTACGGAGGTCGTACGCTGTGCGGCGCTCTCAGCAGGTAGCTGGCTGTTCTGCAGAGGGAGACTGAGCCTTATGGGATAAAAACAGGTGCAATGAAGTCGATATTTCACCTTTACCTTTACATTTTCTATCCACTGCCAGAACAATAGGAGAGGTGAGAAAAGACATCCCTGTCGCATACTTGCTCTTATTTCTAATGTATCTGATAGTTTTCCCTCGCGAAGAAGGAAACCAGATCACACTAGATGAACAACACTGGTTGCCTCTTTAGAAAACCTAACCGGACATGGAAGAGAAGCACTCAGTCTGACATGAAGTACTATAGTTTGCAGGAAAGCTAGAGAACAGATATGTAACAAAGACACCCAATGGATCGCAATTAAAACCAAAAGCTCCCACAAACTTGTTAAAGGCAATTGACATTTTTCTTTAGATAGGTTTAAGTGGACTCCCAACCAGGGATTGGGGGAGGAGAGAGAGAGAGAGAGAGAGAGAGAGAGAGAGAGAGAGAGAGAGAGAGAGAGAGAGAGAGAGAGAGAGAGAGAGAGAGAGAGAGAAGGGAGATTATCTCAGGGGAGGCTATTTTCTACCAGCCAAGGGAGAGAATTTGTAATTTTAACTTGTTTCCCAGTTACATTCGGAATTCGCGACACTAAGCTCTAAATGTTTAATGGTAATATAAGAACTGGTGATTAAATTAACAACGTGAACAAAAATCACAGAGGCCTATATGTAGATACCCGGTTCACAAGCGATGAGAGATCTATATGTTTGATACGTTTCCACAAAATGCATATCTTCTTTGATCTTCCGTTTTAATTTTTCTCTACATGAACTAGTTTCGTTACTACATCCTTTACGTCTTTCTTAGCACGTAATTTTTTGTCATTTGAAGCCCCACTCTGGCTTTTTCCAGGGGCCGCAATATAGGCAGGCCATACATATGGCCAGTTGTCTGAACGCGGTTTCAGGGACCTCTCCACGGTGATCCTCATCCGCATGGTGGCACTTTGTGTCATCGGGTGTTTATCGCTTGTGTGATGTCCTGGTGGGGTAGAAAGTCAGTCATGAACTAGTTACCTCCATACCACTCTTACAACTTTACACGATAAAATGTTTCGTTATTTGAAGCACTACTCTGGCTTTTGCCAGGGGCCGCAATATAGCCCGACCATAAATATGGTCTAATGGGACCTCTCCACGGTGATCCTCATGCACATGGTGTCACTTTGTGTCATTGGGTGTTTATCGCTTGTGTGTTTTCCTAGTGTTGTAAAATATATCACTACTAAAAAACTAGATAGAAAATGGACGTCCTCATGTAATATGCAGTTTTTTTGTGTTTTGTTTTTCGAAGCCCCACCCTGGCTTCTGCCGGGGGCCCTGAAAATAGCCGGGGCATAGATATGGCTGAGCAATAGATATGGCCTAGCTATAGATATGGTTTAACGGCTAAAAGGTGTTTCTGGGATCTCTCCACAGGTAATCTTCATCCACTGTGGCACTTTGTGTCACCAGGTGTTTATCGCTTGTATGATGTCAGGATGAAGTACAACTACCAACCATAAACTAGATCTCGACGTAAAATGTCGTCCACATGTGTGATGTCCTGACTACCAACTATAAACTAGATCTCGACGTAAAAAGTCGTCCTCGTGTGTGATGTCCTGACTACCAACCATAAACTAGATCTCGACGTAAAAAGTCGTCCTCATGTGTGATGTCCTGGTGAGGTACAACTACCAACCATAAACCAGATCTCGACGTAAAAAGTCGTCCACGTGTGTGATGTCCTGACTACCAACCATAAACTAGATCTCGACGTAAAAAGTCGTCCTCATGTGTGATGTCCTGACTACCAACCATAAACCAGATCTTGACGTAAAAAGTCGTCCTCATGTGTGATGTCCTGACTACCAACCATAAACCAGATCTCGACGTAAAAAGTCGTCCTCATGTGTGATGTCCTGGTGAGGTACAACTACCAACTATAAACTAGATCTCGACGTAAAAAGTCGTCCACATGTGTGATGTCCTGACTACCAACCATAAACTAGATCTCGACGTAAAAAGTCGTCCACGTGTGTGATGTCCTGACTACCAACCATAAACTAGATCTCGACGTAAAAAGTTGTCCACATTTTTCATTATTTTAAAGCCTTGCCATGACTGTTGCCGGGGGTCCTAATACAACCTAAGGGGTTAAACGTGTTTTCTGGGACTTGTACCCGGGTGATTCTCATCCAAATCGGGTATTTTATCGCTAATTGTGCAGTTTTGGTGGTCAGTCAGTCAGTCAGTTGGGCAGTCAGCCAATTAGTCAGTCAGCCAGTCAGTCACTCAGACAGTAAATCAGCAAGTCAGTCAGTCAATCAGCCAGTCAATCAGTCAGCCAGTCAATCACCCAGCCAGTTAGCCAATCAGTCAGTCAGCCAGTCTGTCACTCAGACAGTCAATCTATCAGTCATCGAGTCAGTCACCCAGCCAGTCAGTCAGCCAGTCCCTCAGTCAGCTGGTGACTTTCTCCTAGGTAGTTTGGAGCTGCAGCGATATAGGGGCTAGACGCTGGCCGCGGATCAGAGGGCCCTGACGGAGCCAGGCATCTTTCAAAATGGACCTTGATCCCAGGTTGACCCAGTCGTGAAAGAGTACCAGGTAAAGTCCTGGAAAGTAAAGGCGGCTGACGTAATGTTGACCACATCTCCTACTCAGTGCCGATTGGTCTGTAAAATATAGGTCTAGCCCTATATACCCAAAAGGTCTGAAGGAGAAGGATCTTTTACTTACTAGGCCGTCGCCCCAGAGAGGCAATTCAAAACCCCAGAGTGGCAATACAAAACCCCAGAGAGGTAATTCAAAACCCCAGAGAAGCAATACAAAACAAAATGAGAAAGATTTGAACATCGGGAGAGACAGACAAAGTGAGGATTGTCAGATATTCTACACACAACCCTGGACCATAGTGCAGACAGAGACCTGGACACGGAATAAAGAACTAGAAAATCGAATTGAG